ATACAACATACTAATAAATGCAGGAAAATAACAAGTGCATACAACAAAGCAATACACAGCACAGTACATAAAATAAAGGAAACAGAACACATTAGCCATTACATAGTAAAATAACATAGTAAAAAATATAGAAATCGGTATAGTACAAACCGACATTGGAAGATATAACACAGTAAAATGACACAAATAACAGAACAAATTGTAAATAAGCATAAACACACAAACAAACAACACATGCCACCCATACGGGGCGTGCCAACAGGAACCATAATGAAAAGCACATAACACAAGGCAGCAAGACAAAATGACAATGAACACAAGCATATAAAAACACACAACAATGGAACACATACGAGACAAACACAGCCACCCAGCACACAACCCCGACCCCCACAGACAGAGCACGTCCAGCCACCAAGCAGAAAAAACACTCACGCACCGGACACATCAGGAGAGACAGACATGCCACGCAACACCACAGCACACCCATACCCACCAACACACAAACAAACCCTGCCAAACAAGGCAACCAAGCAAACCCCAGCACACACAAAATCCCAAAGACAAACAAACACAGACCCCTCAAACCCCCACCCACCAGAGGGAACCGAACCAAAGGAACACGCACAGACACACACACAACCACACCCACAGGAACCCACCACCTACACCAATGCAGCACCCCGGACATACTCCACCGTGAACCAATCATCAAAAACCCTAGGAAAGGAATGACGCAACCACCACATAGTATAAGACAGACGGCCCTTCAAAAAAAAACAAAATCCTACCAATCCATAAACAAAAAATATAGTCCGCCAACAACACCCCGAGCGTGTTACACACCCGCCTTGAGCCCCGAGGGAAAGAAAAAAACAAAAACCATAATCAGTCGACCTGCACCCCTGGACCACAAAAGGCTGCAATGACATCCCGCAACCACCCAACCAAACCCTGAACCCGCGCACAAAAATAAAAGACGTGCAACTGAGTCTCACGTCCCCCACAATGAACACAACTATCAGAGGCGACCAAACCCAACATAAAGAGCCTCGCATTCGTAGCCAAAGACTCATGCAAATATCGAAAAACCAACTCACACGTTCGTGGCGCAATACACGGCCCACTCAACGCCTCCCACACATTCCCCCAGTCGAAACAAGGGTACAAACTTCCGACCCTGGGAGGCACCCGAGAGGTAAGCGCCTAATACACCTCCCAACAACCAAAAGAGACAAACCCAGGAAAACGACAAAGCGCCCGAAGGATCAAAACCGCCCACGAGTACGCTGGAGGCGAATACAGGTCCACCTCCTGGCAACGACCCAGATCAAGCAAAAAACTAAACCTCATAGAGCAGTAAAACAACGCCAAGGAGTTTAACCCACCCCCTTACACCAAACTCCTCCGAACCGACCCCCAAAACAAAGCCAACGCCTTCACATAGACATCAGGAATACCAATTCCACCTTCTGACACCTTAAGACATAACGTAGATCGACGAACCGGATGATACCGGCCACACCACACATAACGATACACCAAACCCTCCAGAGCGCGAGCCTTCCGCCGATCCAACGGAAAACACTGCGCAACAAACCAGACCCGCGACAAAACCTTACAAGACACGACAATCGCCCGCTGACAAATAGTCAGGGCCCGTTGCGACAACATCCCCACAGCTACGCCCACCCCCCGCGAAACTGCCTCCCAATTAAACTTCAAAGGCTGCACATACGACCTGAACCACGTAATCCCCAGAACCCGAATGGACTGAACCACCGCAAACCACGAACCAGACCATACCAAACGAGAGGCCCAACCACCCGAACCCCAGAAGACAAGACTTTCCACGATTGACCAAAGCCCCTGTAGCCGACTCAAACTGAAGCACCAAATCCTGAACAGCAGGCACAGAACCCTCAGAGGCAACAAACAAGACCGTGTCGTCTGCGTAACCACAAATCTTGAGGGACAAGCCATTCGGCAAACACGATGAAACAACTGAACGACAAGCACGCACCGCTCGAACAAAGGGCTCCTGAAACAGAATATAGAGAGGCATCGACAGAGGACACCCCTGTCGAACCGAACGCCGAATAGCAAAGGGAGCACAAAGGAACCCATTGACACACACCCTACTACTACAACCAGCGTACAACATCCGTATCCAGCCCACAAACTGTGGCGGGAAACCAAACCTCTCCAGGACCCACAAAACAAACCCAATTGGCAAGCGATCAAAAGCCTTGGACCAATCCAAGCTTATCATGGCCGCGGGAACACCAGACTCCTCCACATAGAGGAGCAAATCTTGGAAAAGGGAATTGCATTGCACCAACGACCTACCCAGAACGCCACAAAACTTACCCCAAGAGATCACCGACCCCACAACCGAGCACAAATGGCCAGCCAACAACTTGGTTGTAATCCACATTTAGCAACGTAATAGGCCGCCAATTTGCAAAAAAAACGTAAGTCCCCCGGCTTCGGAGGAAGCCGCACAAGACCATCATTTTGCAAAACGGACAGAGACAAACTCCGAAGACAAAACCGAACCACCTCCAAAAAATAGGCACGAAGCACATCCCAAAACTCGACATAAAACTCCATCGGAAACCCTTTCCGACCCTGGAACCTTACCACGACGAAAGGACCGCACAACCTCCCAAAGCTCCGAAGGGCTTACCTCCCGCACAAGACCCACACAATCCATACCCGACAACCCCGGTGCACAGTGTTGGAGGAAGGACTCCGCCAACCCCTCATTCCCCGCAACCACCCCATACAAAGACTCCAATTCACCACGCACATAATGCAAAACCGCCCCCGTATCCGACAAAACCAAACTGTCCAGCCGATGAAGACCTTCCAACAAAACAGAGGCACGCCCCACCCATTCCCTCCGCAGTAAAAACTGCGAGAGCTTCTCACCACACAACCGTTCCTCCACCCCAGCCCGCACACGTACCCCCTCAGCCATCTCCTCCCTCAGCCCACAAATGAGATCCTTACACACCGAGATCTCCCGAAACCTATCTAAACCCTGATTCAGCAACCCATACAGACGAAATAACCATGCCTGCAAGACCCTCAACAGACCAAACCTTCCCGACGCCTCCTGCTTTGCCAGCACCCGAAAAAACGACCGACATTCCACCTTAGCCCACTCCCACCACTCCAGAACCGAGGGAAACGCCCCCTTCCGAGCGGCCAAAACAGCCCACCGAGCCCGGAACTGGGCACACACAACAGGGCACTTCAGCAACCCACAATTCAGTTTCCACCAGCCACGGCCATCCCGCACCTGGCTGCGAATCCCCACCTGCAACACCACCATGCAATGGTCCGGGAACCCCACGGGAACCGTCTGCAACGAAAAAACCGAACCACCCCCAGTAGGCACGTAAAAACGATCAAGGCGAGATCAAGCCCCACGCAAGAGAAAAGTGTACTCCAAAGGACTCCCTTGCAACACAGCCTCATCCCGAAACCCGCAACTCCTCAAGGTAGCAGTCAAAGCCGGCGAGATATTTGCCGGACGAAGACTATTGCTATCCCGCGGCGACGTAATACAATTAAAATCCCCCCCCCCCCTCCCCAAATCATAACCTTCTTATCGTGCCACAAAAAATGCAGCACGTCACGGGAAAAGAAAACCTCCTGGTCCTGCCTCTTCGCCGCCTCAGATGGCGCGTACACATTCAAGAGAGATACCTCAGACCCCAAAAAGGAGACCCTAACTAACAGCACCCGACCACCCTCGTCCATCTCCGTGTGACGCACGGAAATCGGGGCCCGCTTAGAAAGTAGGATCAACGTACCTCCACGCAAGCCACGCGAAGGGTTTAACACCACCGTAAACCCCTCAGCCAACACATGTAACAACCCCACTTCCTGCACATTGTGCTCCTGCACAAAAGCCACATCCACCCTCCTCTCACGCAGCATCGACACCAGGCCCAATTGCACAGCCACAGAATGCAAACCATTCACATTCAGCGAAGCACACGTTAATTTAGGATCCATTGGGAAAATAGATAAGCCCTATCTAACCACAAAACCGTCAGACCGGTCCGGCCGACACCCCGTGCATTGAAGCAGTAGCAGCTGCCACCGGGTTCCCAGGCGACGGAGACGCACTCCCCAGAAGGGGGGGGGGGGGGGGAGGCCAGAGTCCTTCCGGAACTTCATCACAAGGCCGTGATCATCACTGCCACAGTCCACCACCGCAGATCCACCACAGATCCACCACCGCCCACTCCGGGCTCCGTACCCCAGGGGACCTACATACGAGATCACCAGGAAGGTCCACAACACACCCTCCACCGCTGGGCACCGACGGGGCTACTACGGACACCGCCACACCCTCACCATCACAGACACTTGCATCAGGCTCTAACCTCCGCACCGAAGGCCCTCGGTCCCCGGAGCGACCACTCCTGGCTGTCTTTCGGTGCTTCGTCTGAGAGCCAGGTTGAACCTGGACAGCATTGGTGGAAGGACGACGAGAGGGGCGACCCCCTTCCAAGAACTCATCCGCCTCCAAGGGTTCCACACAAAGGGCAGAAGCACATACCATTCCAGGCGCACCAGAATCTGGCGCGACATCATCCACCGGCGACAAAACAGGGCCACGCCCCACCGAAGCGTCAACATCGACGGCTATGGCAATCGGAGGCGGATGCACCTCCACATGCGTGACCACCGCACTATCGCCCACACAAGGGGGGGTCCACAGACACCGGACCCGGCACGTTAGCACCAGTGGGGCGCACCGCACCCACAACGCCATCATCACCGGCAGGTTCAGGGGAGGGGCGGGGGTTCAACCCGGCAGGATCATCCCCCAAGTCCACAAGGCCACGTAGAAGCGGAAAATCCTATTCTCGGAAGACACTGACCAACCGGACGGTGCCATTACGGCAACCAACAGCCTGGTGTCCAGCCATACCGCACCGAAAACATGTGCCCTCCTGTCCCGCATAAAAGCACTGCACCTTGAACCCCAGCAACACCATCGATGACGGGATCGCCTTCCTCAGCTTCATGGTAATCGTGCGGGTACCAATCAGGACGCCACGAAGACGGCCAGACTTCAGCACATTCGCCCGACAGGCGAGAACACTCCCATATCCCCCGAAGAACCGGCGGAGCAGGCTCTCTGGGAACTCAAACGGCAGCCCCCGCACCACCACAAACGTCACTGGAACGCATAAGTCCGTTACAGAAACCGTACCCGCCATGCCAGGCAAAGGTAGAGTACGCCCATCAAACTTGTTGATCACATCCTGGTACACCACAGCGGCAGTCAGCTTAACCAAGGCCCGATTTCCCCAGCCAGCTGCACACCACACACATCTGCAGGGTTGATAACCAGCACATCCAGGAGAGCAACTTCCAACAATGAGTAGTTTACCAGACCAGAGAAGGCCAGCTCAACCGTATCCACACGCTTTACAGGCGGCATGGGCAACGCCATCCCGCCGGCTCGCCAGGCCAGAGCCCACAAAAAAACGCCACCAGCTGTGTGCACACCAAACGTCCAGGCAAGACTGAGGAGCGAATGTAAACAGAACCGCTCCACACGGCTGCCAAACAGCCAATCCATAACATATCTTTGTGTACAAAGGATGACATAAAACATCCACATTAGTACCACGAAATACAGCTGATATGATTCACTGTAAATCGCCTAGATACGCATTTTGTAGAATATATTTGGCAGCAAAACAGGCACAAAGCCGTTTAGGATGGAGAGTCACAAGTTGGACCAATCACATCGCTGCCAGGAGTAAATGGGATGAATCTCGAACCAGTCCGGTAAATTGCTTGGTTAATGGTACATGTAAATTTTCGCACTTGAGAGAGAGGAAAATCTTTTGCTACATAATCGAAAATTATATATTATGTTTTTAGGAAAGATTATACAAGAACCGGATATTTTTCAATTTAGCTTCTTGGGAAAAGGGTTTTATCGGTGTTTAAATATATATATATATATATATATATATATATATATATATATATATATATATATATATATATATATATATATATATATATATATATATATATATATATATATAATTAATACCTCATTATTAATCATAATAATAATAGAACCACGTCGTCTGCGACTCTAACAGCTCTATATATGTCGTCTGCCACTTTAACAGCTTTTTATATGTCGTCTGCGAAAAAAAAAAAATTATATATATATATATATATATATATATATATATATATATATATATATATATTAAATATGACCGAAAAAGTAAGATTAATAATTCTAACACGAATTTTCTCAATCTTTCGTACATTTCTTTTCACTGTTGGAGGTAATTCAAAAATCAATTCTCCAAAATTCATTTTTATTTCTAGTCTGACGCGACACTTGAGCGCATTTCGTAAAACTTATTACATTTTCAAAGACTTTACACATACACAACTGAATAGAACTTACATATCTCCGATTTGTTTATATCTACATTTGAGTGAGGTGGATGGGGCGAGGTGGTATTTAATAGGGTATTAATTTCATCAACACAAGACAGAACACGAAACAATGGGTATTGAAATGGAAGTGATTGTAGAAAGCCTATTGGTCCATATTTCTTGATGCTTCTATATTGGAGCGAAGTCTTGAGGTGGGTAGAATATAGTTGTACATTAATTGGCTGTTAGTTGCTGGTGTTGACTTCTTAAGGTGCAGTGCCTCGTAAACGTCAAGCCATCTGCTATCGCTGTATCTATCGATGATTTCTGTGTTGTTTACTAGGATTTCTCTGGCGATGGTTTGGTTGTGGGAAGAGATTATATGTTCCTTAATGGAGCCCTGTTGCTTATGCATCGTTAAACGCCTAGAAAGAGATGTTGTTGTCTTGCCTATATACTGGGTTTTTTGGAGCTTACAGTCCCCAAGTGGGCATTTGAAGGCATAGACGACGTTGGTCTCTTTTAAAGCGTTCTGCTTTGTGTCTGGAGAGTTTCTGATGAGTAGGCTGGCCTTTTTTCTGGTTTTATAGTAAATCGTCAGTTGTATCCTCTGATTTTTGTCTGTAGGGATAACGTTTCTATTAACAATATCTTTCAGGACTCTTTCCTCCGTTTTATGAGCTGTGGAAAAGAAGTTCCTGTAAAATAGTCTAATAGGGGGTATAGGTGTTGTGTTAGTTGTCTCTTCAGAGGGTCATGGCGTTTCACTTTCCTTCTTATGATGTCTTCGACGAAACCATTGGAAAAGCCGTTGTTGACTAGCACCTGCCTTACCTTACAGAGTTCTTCGTCGACTTGCTTCCATTCTGAGCTGTGGCTGAGAGCACGATCGACATATGCGTTAACAACACTCCTCTTGTACCTCTCTGGGCAGTCGCTGTTGGCATTTAGGCACATTCCTATGCTCGTTTCCTTAGTGTAGACTGCAGTTTGGAAACCTCCGCTCTTTTCCATGACTGTTACATCTAGAAAGGGCAGCTTCCCATCCTTTTCCATCTCGTAAGTGAAACACAGCACGGAACTCTGCTCAAATGCCTCCTTCAGCTCCTGCAGATGTCTGACATCAGGTACCTGTGTAAAAATGTCGTCAACATACCTGCAGTATATGGCCGGTTTCAAGTTCATGTCGACTAAGACTTTTTGCGCGATGGTACCCATGTAGAAGTTTGCAAACAAGACACCTAGGGGAGAACCCATGGCGACCCCATCTACTTGCTTATACATGTGCCCATCCGGGCTCAAGAAGGGTGCCTCTTTAGTACAAGCTTGGAGTAGTTTCCTCAGAATATTTTCTGGTATGTCAAGAGGAGTACAGGCTGGATCACGATACACTCTGTCGGCTATCATCCCGATTGTCTCGTCCACAGGTACGTTGGAGCCTGTACTCCTCTTGACATACCAGAAAATATTCTGAGGAAACTACTCCAAGCTTGTACTAAAGAGGCACCCTTCTTGAGCCCGGATGGGCACATGTATAAGCAAGTAGATGGGGTCGCCATGGGTTCTCCCCTAGGTGTCCTGTTTGCAAACTTCTAAATGGGTACCATCGAGCAAAAAGTCTTAGTCGACATGAACTTGAAACCGGCCATATACTGCAGGTATGTTGACATTTTCACAGGTACCTGATGTCAGACATCTGCAGGAGCTGAAGGAGGCATTTGAGCAGAGTTCCGTGCTGCGTTTCACTTACGAGATGGAAAAGGATGGGAAGCTGCCCTTTCTAGATGTAACAGTCATGGAAAAGAGCGGAGGTTTCCACACTGCATTCTACACTAAGGAAACGAGCATAGGAATGTACCTAAATGCCAACAGCGACTGCCCAGAGAGGTACAAGAGGAGTGTTGTTAACGCATATGTCGACCGTGCTCTCAGCCACAGCTCAGAATGGAAGCAAGTCGACGAAGAACTCTGTAGGGTAAGGCAGGTCCTAGTCAACAACAGCTTCTCCAATGGTTTCGTTGAAGAAATCATAAGAAGGAAAGTGAAACGCCATGCAACCTCTGAAGAGACAACTAACACAACACCTATACCCCCTATTAGACTATTTTACAGGAACTTCTTTTCCACAGCTCATAAAACGGAGGAAAGGGTCCTGAAAGATATTGTTAATAGAAACGTTATCCCTACAGACAAAAATCAGAGGATACAACTGACGATTTACTATAAAACCAGAAAAACGGCCAGCCTACTCATCAGAAACTCTCCAGACACAAAGCAGAACGCTTTAAAAGAGACCAACGTCGTCTATGCCTTCAAATGCCCACTTGGGGACTGTAAGCTCCAAAAAAACCAGTATATAGGCAAGACAACAACGTCTCTTTCTAGGCGTTTAACGATGAATAAGCAACAGGGCTCCATTAAGGAACATATAATCTCTTCCCACAACCAAACTATCGCCAGAGAAATCCTAGTAAACAACACAGAAATCATCGATAGATACAGCAATAGCAGACGGCTTGACGTTTGCGAGGCACTGCACATTAAGAAGTCAACTCCAGCAATCAACAGCCAATTAATGCACAACTATATTCTACCCACCTCAAGACTCCGCTCCAATATAGAAGCATCAAGAAATATGGACCAATAGGCTTTCTACAATCACTTCCATTTCAATACCCATTGTTTCGTGTTCTGTCTTGTGTTGATGAAATTAATACCCTATTAAATACCACCTCACCCCATCCACCTCACTCAAATGTAGATATAAACAAATCGGAGATATGTAAGTTCTATTCAGTTGTGTATGTGTAAAGTCTTTGAAAATGTAATAAGTTTTACGAAACGCGCTCAAGTGTCGCGTCAGACTAGAAATAAAAATGAATTTTGGAGAATTGATTTTTGAATTACCTCCAACAGTGAAAAGAAATGTACGAAAGATTGAGAAAATTCGTGTTAGAATTATTAATCTTACTTTTTCGGTCATATTTATTAATATATGTCTACTGGAAAGACTGCCACCAAAATATACTAATATATATATATATATATATATATATATATATATATATATATATATATATATATATATATATATATATATATATATATATATATATATATATATATATATATATATATATATATGTAAAGAGGGGCTTCTGCCTTGCCCTGGGATTATATATATATATATATATATATATATATATATATATATATATATATATATATATATATATATATATATATATATATATATATATAATCCCAGGGCAAGACAGAAGCCCCTCTTTACCCAGAAGTAAAATAGTTACCTGGGTGTTAGGCTGAATCTTGGGATTTGAATGCCTTTAGAAGGATTATTAGTTGACGTAGGAGAGACCTCGTTAAACTTATATACACAGGTTTCCTGTCCCCGATAAAATACATTTTATTTATAATCCAAAATCTGTTCTTCTTACTGATCGTTACATTTCACAACTAAATTGTTTAATTTACAAACACAATCCATATTAGTATTAGCAATTGAAACGATGTTGTTAACAGCTCGGTGCATGTAATCCACTTTGCTGGCTATTAAATTATGCAAATCACCATCGTCAGGAGCGGAAGTGATCGTTAAGGCCCTCCGTGTACCAGGCGGCTCCTTGTTTATGTGCCACAGATCTATAGCCTTAGTGATATATATCTTTTGCTGTGTTCGTGGCTGTTTAGAGTCGCAGACGACATATAGAGAGCGGTCTAGCGTCTCAGACGGCATATATAGAGCTGTCTAGCGTCGCAGACGAAATATTTAGAGCTGTTAGAGTCTCAGACGACATATATACAGCTGTCTAGCGTCGCAGGCGATATATATAGAGCTGTCTAGCGTCGCAGACGACATATATAGAGCTGTCTATCGTCGCAGACGACATATATAGAGCTGTCTAGCGTCGCAGACGACCTATATACAGCTGTCTAGCGTCGCAGACGACCTATATACAACTGTCTAGCGTCGCAGACGACATATAGAGAGCTGTCTATCGTCGCAGACGACATTAAAGA